TGACCGAGCCTGAAGCGTGCCTAGGAGACAGCACTTGTGTATGTTTTCCGTGCACCCCAGAATAATACAGAGTTTAGGCTTTAAAAGAAAGTATTTGGGTCCTTGCCAGGTAGACAGACAGTATGAATGAAACACCTGTTCTGGCTTTGGGAGGGTTTTGGAACCATTTGATTACAGGGAAGGTACAGGCTGACCTTAAAGTGAATTGAATTCTCTGGTGTAGAGTAACATGTCCTGCTATATTATGAAACTTCTTGATCTCTTTGTGAAAATGTCCACAGCAGACAAAACACAGATGTGTGCTGCCTTTTGGTTTTAACTAAAAGGTGCTGCCCAGGCATGGCAAATTGAACATCTCTGTCTCAAACCAGTCTTTTTCAATTTTGAGTAAATGTTAAAGGAGCAATACTATAAAGGAAACAAAGATAAAACACATTAAAGTAATTTTACAAAGAGGGGAAAAATAACTGCTCCTTCCAGATGTGTCCAAATTTGGCTCTTGCTAATGCTTATTGATGCTTGGCAGTTTTGGGGGGTTGCATTTTCACAGGGTGTAATTCAATTCCAAGAAGATATAAAGGATCCTGTCTTTCCTAGAGTCACTCCCTGTTGCATCACCTTATCAGCCTGGTCAGTTTTGTACAGTTTTAACTATTTCTGTTAGCATGGCAAAACCAGCACCAGGAATACTTTCATAAGAGCAGAGCTGTGCTGGGTGTAACACCATGGGGTAGATGTTTATGGCCTGTAGCAGACAGCAGATGAGGAAGTGAGATGAGTTTGATCGTCCCCTCTGGCTTTATGCGTTTGCAAGAACCAGTCTGAGAAACCAAGGCAGATCCTGGTCAAATTCCTCGTGCCTTCAACAAAACTCTTCAGTCCTTTCCCACTGTAGATTCAAGCTGTTCCCTGGCTCCCCCAATGCAGAAGGGTTTAAAAAGCTGTAATTGAGCTGTCAGTTTGAAGACCAAATGGAGGAAATGTATCTTGGGTCTGTGTTTGTGGGCTGTTTGCAGAACTGTCTGTGTGTGCATGTGTGCAGGGTTCTGTGTGAACAGGAGGGGAACTCCTTTCTATGCCTCTGTGAACTCAGCAAACTCAGTGCAAACCTCACATGGAACCAGCTTATGCCTTTTGTGGGTTTGTTTTACAATCTCCCCAGGTAGAGCCTGTGAAGGCTGTAAAATTATAAAGCTGGAGATGTGCTTGAAGGATATTGATTGCGCTTCTGGCTTGTGTTGGTTCAACTCCAGCTTGTGTGGAATTAATTCTTAGCTTCTAGTAGCTGTTCTTGACACCCTTGTGTCAAGACACGACATGCTTATGAAAATGGTGAGCTTAGAATAATGCTCTTGGATCACCACAGAGCAAAGCTCAGGAAACACATTCCTTCACACAGCTTGCAGCAGGGTAGTAGAAAAGTAATTAAATCTTCCGTAAGATAACATGTTCCTGACCCTATACCATACAAGAACCATATGCTCACTTATTTCTCTTGGCTCGGGCCCTGCTCTTACTGGCAGCTCTGACTGTGGTGGTACCGTGGTAGGAAACGCTGCCTGTGAATGCAACGGGTCTTGTTCCATTGGCCATATGTTGGTTTTCCTGGAGCGAGGAGAACTCCTTTCATTTCTCTACATAACAGACAATACAGGCCCAGAGAATTTATGCACAGCAAGCAGAATGTGTTTGTATCACCACTGAATTACCAGACAGGCCTCGCTTCTGGCTGCGGGATGCTTCCCTGTGCTTCCGCTGTAGCTTAAAAGGGTCTGGGCAGACAGGAAAAACTCACTTGTAACTTGCAGAATCTTTGTTCAGATTTAGGAACTGGGTTCCCTCATCAAGATAAATTGAATTTGTTCTCAGATCTCTTTTAAGATCTTCCTGTCCCTCCCCACTCCCACACCCTGTCTGTCACTCCACAGCTTGCTTGAAGAAAGGGCTTGTGGTTTCTGCTGGCAGCTTCTGGCAAGTTCCTCATGGTCCTGCAGTTTTCAGGGAGGCAAAAAAAAAAAAAAACCAACTTCAGTGGAACTCAGCTGCCTTTAAGAGATGCAGATGGATGGCAGCATGGTTGAAATCATGTTGCTACATGTAGGCTCAGAGAAGACTGGAGTAGGAATGATACAAGTTGGATTTTTTTTCCAGTTCTTTCTACATTCACTGGTAGTGTATTGGATTTAAATGGAAAAGTCCTTTCTGCTTCAACACCTCCTATTTGAGAGCATGTCACTGTGACCAGCAGCTTTGTGAAGCTGAGCCAAGGAGTACCACTGTTAGGCTCAAGAAACTAGTAAAACTCAAAGAGGGATCAGAGTAGGGAGTAACAGGAATGGCAAATGTCCAAGGATGTTGAAAGTAATGCTTAGAAAAACTTCCTAAACGGAAGAAAAGCTTCAGTACTCCAGCGAAGTTCTAGCTGCATAGATCAGGGGACATCTTTTTTGGGAGCAGAGTATTCCTTGACCATCCAAGGGGGTTTTCACCTGAAATGTTTGCTTCCAGTGACTCTCAAATGAGACATCGGACTAGATGGGACTCATGTCCTCAGTGTGGCTGAGCAGAGGTCAGGATAGCCATCAGGATAGGAGTTCAAGTAGTTAACCTCAACTTTTTGGCTAACCTCTAAATCAGATGTTCAGCAGTGTTAGAAACCCTCTGTGCCTTTCTTTCTGTGCTGGAAAAAGACCCTCAGAATGCTTTTTGTTTGAACTGTTTCCATTGCTTCTTGGTAAACTTCAGATCCCCTCAGTTTTAGGTGGCTTAAGTATGATTGCAGTCTTCAAACTGTCTTTGAAAGTAGCTCTGTGGTTGACTAGAAGCAGTTCATACTGCAGAAGGGTCATTTTTTCTGCGTGGTGCTCCTGAGCCTGTGCCACAAAACCCACGTGGTAACTGTGATTTCACTTTCCTTAATTGCATTTTGGAGAGGAGATTAATTACGTGCCACCACGTTACCACTAGAGGGATTACGGATATTAGCCTGGCCGAGTCTTTTGCCTTGAAACTCTTGTGGGGGTGGGAGAAAGTTATTTTCTTAATCTGTGCCCTGCTTTCCTTGTTAACTCCTTTTACATATTCACAGGTGCCAGTGGGGTGTAAGTAGCTAATTAAATACGACATTTGACAAAGTTTGAGGAAGTTTTAATTCCTGTCGTGTGGAGTATTGGTCTCCGGTACATAAACACGTTAGTTAACCATTACTGCAGAACACAAGTATTTTCAAAGGTGGCTGTTCCACTTTCCCCGGAGGAACCTACCCGTTTTCAAGCACAGTTTAAAGGGCAAAGACTGCCTGCTCTCTCGATAAGAATTTGTTTTTAAAGGTTCTATTTCACTTCTAAAGGATACATTCATCTGCGGAGCGATAAGATCTTGCATTAAGTGGGGAAACCAGGGGAAAGGTCTCCAAAGAGACGGGAAAGCAGGAAGGGGTTAAACGATGTCTGAAAGCCCTTTAGGAAGTCTTTCTAACTGAATGGGCTTGGCGGCCGTGCTTCAGTGCTTCCTCGCCATGTGGAACCAGGCACCTCTCACCGCCCTGCGTTCACAAGTCCTGATGTCATGCTAATGCATCCCAGAGAAACAGCTGGCACTGGATGGCTCCCTGGCTCCTGATGGCATGTGGGTCTGCACTCCTCCTGATGCTGAGACCCATCAGCGTTCCCAACCCGTCCTCCCGGCGGGAGGGCTGCGAGTGTCGGACTGCCTGTGGCGCTGCGGTGACCAGGGCTGCACTTTCACCCTCTGGCATCTTACAGTATATCAGTACCTGTTATCCCACATATACAGTGCTTCAGATACAGTAAAAAAGATGTTTCAAAGGCCCCTGAAAATGCTGGAATTAGTGTAATTGCACAGCCTGTTAGATACATGCCATATGTGAACGCAGTCTGTGGAACTACATATTTGAACTACAGATACTACAACTTTTCTTTGTTTGTTTGTTTTTGGTTTTTTATTATTATTATTTTAAAGAACTTTTCCAAGACGGTTGTCCACAGAGAAAAGAAACAAAGAGGATGATGTTTGGCAAGGAGCAAATGCCCAGCAGCAGCCTCTGAAGATCTGGACAGCTTAAGAACTTGATTTGCTTCCTGTGGGGTTCAAATACTGCAGCAATTTAATTGTATGGAGTCTAGACCTGGTCTCTTGGTATATCCTAGTTTCAAGAAACAGTCTTGTCCAGTTCAGGCACAACGTTTTGTGAATATCATTCAATTCTTGGATTTAAAAAAAGTCTGTGATTTGATGAGTTAATTTATGTGTTGCTATATATATACTTATATATACATATATGTATACATGTTCAGTTTCTTATTTGTAAAGTGTCTTCCCTCCAACAGTATATAAAGACCTGACAGTGTGTGTGTCCCTGCAAGTCACACCGCGGAGGGACTGTCCGTGGACAGGTTGGGCGAAGGTTGGGTTATCACTGAGCTGCTTTCTTCCTCCTTGGGGGAAGGTAAAGTCATTTCCCCAAAGCCATCCTTTCTGGGGAAAGTGGAAGTAAAGTTTTCACTGCCCAAATGTACCGAGAACCCACATCATACCTCGAGGAGAGCGAACTGGAATTGGTGGAGCTTTCTACTGTTTTGTTAATTAGTAATAGAGTTTTTTCCTGTAGATAACCCATCTATCGGTTAATGGAGTTTAACGTACTAAAGCACCAGCGGAGCCTCCGGGCAGCGCAGCCCCGCACACACAATGGGCACATTGTTCCCCGGGGGGGGGGGAATCCTGTCTCCCCTTTATTCGGGAGGTGGGGAATCCCTTCACCCCGCTCAGCGGGGCCGGAGCTGGGGGTTCCCGGGGCGAGGCCGGGCGGGGAGCAGGGGGAGGGGGGGTTCCCGGGGGCGGTGAAAGGGTTAATGGGGGCGGCGGGGCCGGGCGGCCCCTCCCCGCAGCCGGGGCTGAAGTAGCGCGGCGGCGGCGCGGCCGCAGAGCCGAGCGAGGCGGCGGGACGGGATCGCGGAGCAGCTGCCCCTGCCCGGCCCCGCCGCTCGGGCAGCCCCTGGTGAAGATGGCGAGGGCGGCGGAGCGGGGCGGTGCGCGGCCGGGGCTGCTCCTGGCGCTGCTGCTGGCGCTGCCCGCCGCCGCCGCCCGGCCGCCCGCCTCCTTCCCCAGCGATGTGAACGGGCACAGCCTCCACCCGCCCTACTTCAACCTGGCCGAGGGCACCCGCATCTCCGCCACCGCCACCTGCGGCGAGGAGGCGGCGGGCGCCGGCAGCCGCCGCGCCGTGGAGGATCTCTACTGCAAGCTGGTGGGGGGCCCGGTGGCCGGGGGGGACCCCAACCAGACCATCCAGGTACGGCCGGGAATGGGGGGTGGGGGGGAGGAGAACGCGGACCCCGCGCACGGGCGGAGCGCGGAGCTTCCCTGGGGCGGTACAGCCGGGGGGTGCGGATGGGTCCCAGCCCCGCTTTGTGCTCCCCCTTTCCCGGCCAGCGCTCCCTCGTCCCACCCGTTTCTCGGGGGCCGGGAAGGGCAGAGGCTGCGGTGGGGAACCTCGGGGCCCCACGGCCCCGCTCCGCGCGTGTTTTCCCACGCATCCCTTGTGCAGAGCTGGTCCAGCAGCTGCTGGTGGGTTCGCGCTGGGGCGCTCAGGGAGGGGGCGAAGGGCAGGCAGGGGTGGTCCCGGTGCATCCCCCTGCCCAGGCCTGTCCGCAGCCCCCCGGAGCAGCGGGGCGGTGGGACGCACGTGTTCTCTCTCTCTCCAAGCCTTGCCAGGAGTTGCTCACATGAAACGCGGCTCGCTGAGTTCCCGAGGCATTATTTTTAAATTTTGGGAGTTCTTCATGTTTATAAAATCCCGGGCAAACCACCTCTCACATCCCTTCTCTAGTCAGAGGATCGTTATGATAAACGTGATAATATTTACCTTGGTGCGTCTTAAACGTGATAATATTTACCTTGATGTGTTTTAACTCCGCGGTTCCCCGTGTGTTTGGTAGGGCATTGGGATGAGCAGAGGGAAAGTAACGAGGGTGGATTTTACAAGCTAACGTCAGGTGACTTATCTCAGGGGTCCCATTTTGAGCTGCCCAGAGGGAGCTTGCAGCCAGGAATGTAGATGGTAAAGACTGCCGTGCAGTGTAACAGCCATGGCTCTCTTGAAGAGAGGAAAGAGCAGTTGTAAACGGGCTTGTAAAACACTAGTTTTAGTTGCAGGAACTCCAGATCCTCTGTGCCTCCCCTCAGGGCAGCCCAGGCTGGGAAGAGCAGCTCTGATTTGAAATGCTCTCACAGCCTGGAGCCACCAGCTGCTGCTCATCAGTGTTTTCTGCTTGTTGCTTGTGAGGGTCATGGTGCCACTTCACCTGTTGCTGTGGAGCAGTGGAGTTGTCCATGTTGTAGGCAACAGTAAGGATGAGCAAGGGCAAACTGTCAGTTTCTTGGTCTGAGCCTTTTTCGGCCTCTTGGTAGGGGTGGCTTTGTTACATAGTTGTCTCTGAAGCATTTTTCTCATTCTGGCCACATTCTCCTGAGTTAGTGCTGTACTAAGAATTTGCTGGCTATTGTGTGGTTATGACATGGAATTCTGCTCTCTACGTAGTGTAAATTATTGAAGATGTTACTGAATGGCAAAAACCTGATGTATCCTGCTCTTGAGTTTTGCCACCTTTTAAAAGTGATCTGTTTCACTTTGCTGCACTGTAGAATAATGTAACCTGAAGAAGTTTTGCTTCAAGTCCTAGTAACAGGAGGCTTACAGGGACCTCGATGTAGTAATTGTGCCTACAGTGAGGCAAAGGAGTAAGGAAAGGTGAAGAATTTAACTGCTACTTATGTACACTTGCAAACAAGTGTGAATTATCTGCCAAGCATAACTAGGAGGAATAAGAGTGCTTGGAAAAGCTGGCAAATGGGGGTATGCATTTATCACTCCACACGTGTCCATCTGTGCTCTGGCCACCCTGCTAGCTCAGCATGACACATAGCACTAAGGATGCTGGTGACTAAAAGAAACCCTTCAGGCTGTACCAGCTCTGGGGGCAGCCCCATCGTTCCCCTGCTGCCAAACACAGCTCCCCAGCTGTGGATTTCTGCAGCGACCCCCTTCCATCCCCTCTGCAGCTCTGGCACAGGGTGGCTTTGATCTGAGCACCACTTCCCAGGCCAGTGGTCTTCAGTCAGTCTGAAAGCTTTAGAAAAATCCTTTTGTAGTGGCTCCTTTCCATGACCACAGGCAGCACCTAAAAGGGAGGGGAGGAAACAGGAGGCATCGGAGCAGAGGTCAGAGTTCCCAATTCATCCCCTTTAGGGGCTTTGGCACCACCCGGTGACTAAAGCAAGGAGGGAGGTGGGAGGGAAGTGTTCAATTTGAGCAGACTGAAACAACAATAATGAACTCCACATGCATGTCCTCGCTGCCTGTGTGTCATACCAGACCAGAGTCCCTTCCCTTCTCCCTTTACCTGCTCAGTGCTGCTCGTGTGTGGTGTGGCTGTGGCATGAGGGGGTTTGGTCAGGAATTCTGGAAGAATATCTCGGGACCCTCCCAAGACACTTCCACGTACTGTGGTGGTGAAGGGACATTTGCTTGATTAAAGACAGGATAAACATTAATACAGTCACCTAATAAATTAGTTCAGTTCAGTTCTCTTCTCTGCTGTTTTAATTTGACATTGTAGAAGACTTCAGAAGAGGGAGTTCACCGACTTTAAAACATGATGGTCTTAAAATGTCAATAATCATTAAGCTTTCTGAAATAATGGTGCTCTAAAGACACTTGGAGTGGTTTTGGCACAGCTTGTGGGAAGGCTGTAAACCTTTTCAGGGAGTTTCCTTTGCTTTATTCAGGGGTTTTTGGCAGAAGAGAGCATTTCCAACTGGGGGGCTTTTCAGCCTGGAAGGATGTGATGCACAGCAGTGCTGAGGTGTGCTGAAAGGGACTTGCCATGGAGGTTTGCTTCCCTTGTCCGACTCACTCTTCAGCATGGGCGATCCTACCTTAATGATCATGTCTTGAAGATGAGGCAAAAGAGAGGTCATGGGTTTCTTTTTTCTGATTGAGCTTTACTGGAGATGTCTGTAGCTGTCTTCCAAGACAGACAACTCTGCAAAGGCATAGCCATGTGCTCATGTTCCCCATCCCACCCTTCTGCCTAGGGGGCTGTTCCAGCAGGGGTTGTACACTGTGCTTGGAGTGAGGCAGGGTTGTAGACGATTATTTTAGGAGATTAGGAGTATAACAGTAAGGCAAGTTACTAGCATTAATTGAAGGAATTCTAGACCTCAGAATTTAAGAACATAAACCAAAGCTCAGTGATTTCAAGTCAGTGCTACTTTTGCCTTCCTCTGAAGCCTGTCTTCTCACACACGCCCTGTGTTCAGAGCACTGGTTTGCACAGTGAATTGTGGTGCTGAGCTATACTTGCCGGAGCAGAGCGGGCATTGACCAGAGGTCTGGTCCTCTCACTCTTGCAGATGTCACTAACAGATGAGATCTGAAGCTATTTCATACCCAAGTGTCTATGAATTAAGGGACATTCTCTTGATATCCTGCAGTAGTCAGCGACCATTTGTCCTGGTGCTTCTTAATCCCACACCATGTCTCTCCCGTGTGGCAGTGGGAATCTGGCTCAGCCCAGGGCTCTCCATGCTCTGGGTGACAACTGCTGCTGTACCTCTCTGCACGTGTCTCTTCTGCGTTTACATAGGTGATGGAGTTGGACTTCAGGGGTTTAACTCTGGCTGAAAATGCACAGTTTTTAGAACAAGTTTTGCTGTTGCTCACAGAAGAAACACCTAGTGAGACAGCATTGCTTAACTTTGCCTGAGCAGCTGCTCATGCAAGGATGGCCCTGGTAGCAGCCAGCATGTATTTTACTTGTCTGAAACAGTGCTTCTTACCCTCCATTTCCTGCCCTTTTTACCTCATCCTGGGCAGCCCAGGCTGCCCCATGCTCCCTGTGGTTTTCTGATAAATCAGGTGAGGAGAGCTGATGTTGGGTCACGGCAAGGCCAGATAAACTGGGACAAAGCCACCCGTTTTCCCCAAGGCGAGTGGTGCCAGTGGGGTGCCTGGCTAGTCTTCATGCTCAGGGGAAACTTCAAAGTTCACACTGACTTGAGTAGGAAGAAGATCAGGCCTTGCAGGTCTCTGTAAGCTGCCCTCCATTCAAACCTCTTCCTTATCTCTCTCTCTCTTTGCAGTTTGCTCTGATAGTGGCAGTTTTATGTTCTCTAAGCTGCCCTGCAACTTCTTGCATTGCTTTCTTTTCGCAAAGTTCTTTCTTTGGTGGACCTTAGCAGTGTCCACACCTCTCCTGCTCTGGCAACATGCTGCCTTCACCAAGCCTGTGGCTCACAATTGCTTTTTTAATTAAAATCCTCTGCTGATGTCAGAACTCCCCTGTAGAGAACCTGACGCACTGTGCGGGAGCCTGAGTTTCTCTGAAATACAAATAGCTGGAAATGATTCTCACCAGGTTTAGGTCTGGCTCTAATGAAACAACTAATGAGCAACTGGTGCATCAGAGGGGCTAAATCACACTTTTAACAGCAGACTTGGTTCAGCTGTTGATGTGTTTCCAGCCCAGGCTGCACAGCAGTGGGGAGGGACAACAACAGCATTACAAATGTGGAGCAGCTGATCCTAATTTTTAGTCCCCTCTAACTTAACTTGAGTCGACTGTCTTCAGTCAATGTGAACTTTGGGTCCAAAATGGTTTTTACATCTGTAGCAAGAATTTAAACTATGAGAACACTTTATTTTTGTTATTTATCCCTATTTTGTAACCTTGCCTCACTTCTCCCCCCCCCCAGTGTTGTGCATTGTGCAGCAGAAATTTCCACACAACCTGTTGCACCGGTTCCCGTTAAAGGTTTGAGCTGAAGAGTTGGGTCAGTTTTATCTGGTCTGCTCTCTCTCCTGGCTCAAAGCATGTTAAAACGAGCCTTGTCCTGACCTCCCTGTGCAGCCGGTACTCCCTGCATGGCTGTCAGGGTTACCTGGATGGTTTTCCTTTGGACTTGTGCTTGTCCAGTCTACTATTTTCATATCTCCAGAACACTTAATGAAAATGTGTTCTTGTTCAGGACAATTTGTGTTGCATAATTGCCTGCAAATAACATAGGGCATGGCTGTGGGGAAGAATGCTGTGAAATCTGTTTTCCTTTGCACTGAGATTCCTCCAGAGCTTGGAGCATCTGGAAAATCACACGCTCTGCAGTGGCTCTGTCTTGCCTCAGCCCTTGTAGGGGTGCAGAAGGAGTGAGCAGGAAGGGGATTGCCTGTCTTGAGATCTTGTACCTGGTGTAATATTAACGCTGGCTGCGGCTGGGACAGGCAAGGGCAGCATTCCTGCCTGGGGATAACTGCGCCTTTAAAAGGAAAACTGCCTGTAACAGAGTTCCCTTCTAGGCTGTTGTAGCAGCAATTCAAGGACAGAGCAGTGGCTCCACAAAAGAAATAACTCGCCAATTTTCAGGGCTATTTGAAGATTTTTTTAAGAGTGGGTCAGATTCATTTGTCCCTTAATGGGAAAGAAAGAATTGCCTCTAAGCTCAGCTCAGGTCTTTTGTCTGGTCGTGCTGTTAAAGTTGCAGGGCTGTTTTCTCTGGCAGCGTGTCCATGGAGCTGACACAACCACCCGCACCACAAAGGCAAGACAGAGAAGTGATGGCAGTGAGGTGCCTGGCCAGCTGACAGCTGGGGCTGTCCCTTTCTGGCCTTGCATTGCAGCATCATCAGCAAAAGGAACTCTGCTGTGAGACTATTAAGCTTGAAAATGTAGCTGAAAGGACTATATGGTGAAATGAATAGGTGGACAAGAAACAGATTGCAGGGAGTTGAGCAGAGGGACTGCCAGTCTGAGTCTGTAGAAATGACTGAATGGTCTGGGTCAGGATCTGTGGGTATCAGCAGGGCTGTGAATGGCAGCCTCAGCAGAGGAGCTGGTGGCCATGGAGCTTGAGCTGCTGTTCTCTGCTGTGGTGTAGCTTCTCACTCTGCATTTGGTAACCAGTTCTTTGTGTCCAAGTTCCTTTGCCAACACTCAGTGCATATCTGCAATACAGAAGGGATGCTGCTTAGAGCAGCCCAAATGCTACACTGGGTGGTTGAGGGGGTTTTTGAGCCTCTTCACATTCCTTTTTCCATTCATGCTTCAAATCAGTGCAAAGAAAAAGTTTATATATAGACTTGCATTAGCGGGCTTACACCCTGTATTTTCTGAATTGCCGTGATACCTGTCTGCTTTGTACCACGTTTTTCTGGCTGGGCTTTAAGTGTTGGTTTTGTGCTTTCCAACAGGGCCAGTACTGCGACATCTGCTCCTCTGCAAACAGCAACAAGGCCCACCCCATCACAAATGCCATTGATGGGACAGAGCGCTGGTGGCAGAGCCCCCCTCTTTCCCGGGGGCTGGAGTTCAACCAGGTCAACGTCACTTTGGACCTTGGACAGGTAACCCAATTCCCTTCTTCGTTATGTTGCTAGGTGATGCTGGTGAGTACCTGCTGCTCTGCTTCTAAAATCCTTTAGTAGACCTTTGTGGAAGTGTGGGACAAAACCCACTCATTTAATAACGTGGCATGAGGTTCTAGTTAAAATATGGAAGGGAAAATTGTTGCCCATTTGTAATATTAACTATATTGATGTAGTTATAACAAATTATGTGCTGTTTATTGTTACTATTTAGATTCTCCCTAAAAGTTGAGTCACTCATGGAAACCCACCACATTTTGTAAGTGCTGTTTCCCCTTAGAGGGTACCTAACTCTTGAAGGGGGACAGTTAGCAAAGCGTCACCCCAAAATGGGAGAACATAGCTCTGAGAAATTCAAGGTTGCTCTCTAAAACTTTTAACCAGTGCGTTTAAAACTTTGAAAACAGCAAGTCCGTGGTGAAGATCTTCTTCCTATAAAAGACAAAGGATGACAATGGATGTTTGGTCTCTAATGCTGGCAAGTCAAAGGGAATTACCATTGTAATAGCAGGGCTGCCAGCCCCCACTGCCTCTTCAGCTGCTCCTATTCATCCACAGAACTGTCCCTCTGGAAATGGAGTGTTCTCTCAGATTTTCCTCAGCTTAGAGGGAAGCAGCAGAAAAGATGCCCTGGCTGGAGGGCAGAGGCAGGAAGGCAGTGTAAGCCAGAGATCTGAAGGGCTGAGGGATGTGGGTCTGTGCTTCCCCTAGCTCTGCTACAAGCCCTGCAGCCACATTTGGGTCCTCTTTGGCTGGAAGGTCCATGGGATGGGGCAGTTGTGGAGCTGTGGACAGCTCAGCTCTTGCACAGGAAATCTGGCTGCTGTGATTGCTCAGCTGCCTTTCAGGGCCAGAGTCACTGTCCCTTTGGGAGGTTGCACTGTTTGCAGGGATTTTGAGTCTCACTGGACACTAAAGGTTTGCACTGGCCTCACAGGTGGCTTTTTCACCCTCTGGTGGAGTAAAGGCTCATTTGTCGCTGTGGTTTGTAAGGTGTCTGACTCCAGCTTTACAGCCATGAATATCTGGGCTGTATTGATGAGGACACCCTTCTAGTTAGACGCCTCCAATGCAGACTGTAGTCCCCAGGACTGTCTCTGCCCTGTAGCACTCGCTTGGATTCTCTCAAGCACCCTCCACGAATTTGTTCCCTGCCACAAGTGCCAGCTGTGCAAAGCTGTGCTGTGCACAGCACCAGTGAAATATCTGCTAACGCCTGGGGCACACCAAGCATCACAGAATAGCTGTGTGGGCAAAGCCTCCCGGGGCTGCACACGCTGTGCTGAGCCCTGGCCAGCGTGGGTGGCATCTGCTGTGTCTCTTAGAAGCATCCCAGCTGGCAGGGATGTGCTGGTGGGTGGATTGCTTTGCTCTCCCCCTCTGTTCAAGGGCCAGCCCGCAATGTGCCTTTCTGATCTTTCACGTCTTCTGGAGAGGGATTTTCAAAGGCCAGCTTTCCTTGGGAGCTTCTCCTCCTCTTTGTCGTTCTCTGTGGCAACTTTCTGGCTTTAGGCCAGAGCTAACCCAGCTGTGCTGTGTTCTTGCAAGCTGCTGCATTTGGCTCACCTGGGGGTTTGTGGCCTTCAGAGCTGCTGTGCTGGGAGACAGAGCCTGGAATAATTTGGAGGGGCTGCAGTACTGTTAAAACTGAGCTTGTCTAAGCTGACCACCTCCTCCTGCCCTCCTCTCCTGAGTCTGTTTGCCCTTGGTACCCAGGGAGGTGGGATTGCATGATCATTTCTGCAGGGTTAGTACCCAAATTTGCACGTGGTGCTGGAGGCAGATGCTTCACCTGCTGTGGATTTTCTGTGGGCTCACAGACCCTCTTGTTTCCCTGCCACCCATGCAATACATCATATCCAGCTGGTCTCAACAGCTGGGCAAACTGAAGGCTCCAGCCCCTTTTTAGTGGCTTCCCCTTTATGTACCCTTATTGCATGTAATTGCTATAGCAACCTGTTTATGCTCCTGGTGAGAGTCAGGTCTTTGCTTTTCCCTCCTTTGTTTTGGTAGGTCGGGCAATAGGAACAAGACGAAATGTTACAGAATCACATTTCCTCCTTTTGAAGTTGAGTCTGGTTGAAAGGATTGAAGAGATTGAAGAGAGAAATGGGAATTCTTAGGACCCAGCAGGGTGAGTGCAGGATCAGGCCAGCATACCTGGCAGCCAGGCTTTAGAAATTCCTTGGATACCTGTGAAACAGCACAGGTAACAACACCCTCAAAGGCACGTCTGAGAGCAGGGCTTTATTTTGGCTGGCAGACAAGGTCTCTCCTTGCTTCGTGTATCCCTCTAGGGAGCTCTTGGACCAATTAAGATTTAATTTAAGGGACTGATGGCCACTAAAAGCTTTTGTCCCTCTGTGGGGGTCATGAGTGCCTGGAGTGCTGGAGCTGATGGCATGGGGGCACAGCAGGGGCTGGCACAGGGTTTATGGTGTCAGCCCCTTCCTTTGCTCCTGTGCTTCCCTGCTGGCTTCATCCCTCAAGAGCCAGAAGTGCTTAATTACTGGTTGGAATCAGGTTTCTTCAGCATTTGGCGAGGCTGTGGCAACTGGGAGAGGGGCAGTTAATTAAGCAGCCTGTTGGTCTTTGCTTTTCCTAGCTGGGAGCTTGCTCTCCTCACAGGGATGTTAAAATCCTATGGGAAGGAGAGAAGGAGGAATATTCACAGCCAGCAAATAAGTTAAAGAATGGCTTGGGCTGGCCACCCAGCTGGTGTGAGGATATTAAACATTCTCCTCACGTCATCTTAGTGCCAGCAGTGGCCTAATCTTAATGGCTTCATCAGCAAGGCGGATCAGAGCTCCCACAACGGTTTGGGAAGAGGCTGAGTCCGATTATCTGCTGGGGAGGCTGGATCGGAATTGCTCCTGCTGGTGCTGTATCTGTTCCTCCCTCCATGAGGAGGAGTGATTTTTCTTCTTGTGGGGGAAAGGGAGGAAGAATTGAAGTTGCTGTGTTGGGAGGACACTACTGTTCTGGACAGTGTGGACTTGTTGGAGTCCCAAAACTGGCTGTCCTACCTGGCTTGGAGGGAAGAGGTCCATGTTGTGATGGAGGCTCTTAAGCCTGCCCCACTGCTGCTCAGCTCCACGCTATTTCCTCTCCTGCCTGGAGGCTCCAGACCAGCTGGAAATGGGAAAGTGCCTCTGCTGCAGAGGGCAGAGGGACAGGAGACCATGACTCACTGCCACCATGGGAATTGTCCCCTGTGATCCTGCAGTGATTAAGTGCCACAGTGGGTGGAGGGGAGGAAAGGGTGTGATGGAAGATTCTTTTTGTTGTTTTGTTGTGGGTTTTGTTTTTTTTTTTTCTCCAAGAAGGTCATTTGAGTCAGAGCTGACAAAAATCAGGAGGTTTAAAGAAACATGAATGACTGGCTTTTTGCCAGGGCCTGACATCTTCCTTGCATGAAGGTGAACCCAGGCCAGCCCTTCCCAGAGATGTTTATGGGTAGTTGGTGCTTTATGATAAACTCTGTGGGGAGGAATGCTCGCAGTCATGCAAGAGCAGGAGCTTCGTGCCAGTGCTTGCTTGAGGTTAATTACTGCGGTGAGAAGGTGGCTGGATACATCCCCCATCTCCCCCTGCCTCGCCTGCTGGCCCTGGTGACACTGGAGAACAGAATTTCAGACTGAAGCTTTGCAGGGATTTATGATTTACACCCCAAAGGTATTTAATCCAGCAGTGCCTCATGGAGGGCACACAGCCTCCCCAAACACCCATCGCTGGCGAGAAACACCAGTGTCCATTTGCCTCTGCTGCTGAGGAGAGAAGAGAAGCCTCCTCCTTTGGAGAGATCCAGGGTGTTACTGCTTAAAATGCAGCTCCCTTTAGGGTTAAAGGGAGGGAAAAAAAAAGTTTCATTCGTTGCTAACTCATGAAGATGGAAAGGAAATGAAAGGGATTGTGAGCCAAGCCCCTGGGCCAGTCTGAAGGTGTTTTTTGTAGTCACTGTAGGATGTACCTCTGCAAGGGAGTAGGTTGATGACTTAGTGAGTGCTTTGAGAAGCATCTCATGAGGTTTCTAGTAATTACGTTTTCCCCAGCACAAATCACTGGGAAATGCACGGTCTCCATTTCTCTCAGGGCTGCCTTATCTGTCCGGTGGGTTTGTCATGGAGCATTGCAAGAATGGGTGAACACTTAAGATTTCCCCCCCCACATGTTTTTTACTTAATGTCTCTTGCTGTTAAAGACTACTTGGTCTTCACTGTGCTGGGGCACCACTGTGGGAAAGGGGTAGGAGGGTTTACTGACATTTATTGTGAGCTTTTGCACCTTAAATAAAGGGCTGGGGCGTAAAATCTCTAACAAAGACGTTCTTTCTCCAAATTGTTCTCCAGCTCTTGGAGCAAAAGCAGTATTAAAAATAAAGCATGTTAAGTAGGCTGAGCAGAAATCCTTTTTATTTGAACAGCTCAGCCTTTGGTCTCTTCTGCTGTGTGGAGTCCTCTGCAATTGCCATTAAATCCTTCAAAAGTAGATCGGGATCTTCATCTGTTCAGAGGTTTCAGAACTGCAGTTCCCCGATCTGAGATGGTCTGTGACTCCTATTTAACTACAGAGCCTGTTCAGTGCTGCTGTCCTTTGCCATGGCTGTGGAGTGCAAGTGGGGTGCATATTTGTAATGCTTCTCTGGGAAAAGCAGAAAAGGTGTGACTGTGGGAGAGTGCGGCACTGGGAGCTGGCACCGAGCCCAAGTGGATGGATGTTCCCTTCCCTCCCAATTTATTTTCCCCTTTATTGTTTAAATTAACTTAGCTGTGAAGGCTGTTCTGTTTTGTTCAAAGTTGCAGTTCCCCTGGCCCAGACCAGCAGCTGGTTTTTGGGTTGGTTTTTTTTTTTTAGTGCTGATAAAGGGAGATTTTTTTTCCTTTACTTGGCCCTTCTTGACCTTTCTGTGCTATTTGCCAGCTCCCTCCAGATTCCTGGCTCCAAGGGTTGCGTGGGAGCCGTTCAGGTGAGCGGGCAGG